TGATTTGGTTTTTTAAAGCATGTTTGATATTCATATTGTTTCTATCTCTATTTATTTATTTTGCCTTCCCTCATCCCACTTGCAGGGGTTAGGTACCGAAGATTCTGTTCTAATCCGAGTACTCGTTCGAAACGCCGACAAACAAATGGCGGAGATAAAACAAATTTTTGAGCAAGACTTTCAAGGCAGTCTGGCAGACTGGGTAAAGGTGAGCACAACATTGATAATCTTTGAATGCGTCACGGTGTTGTTGAATTAAAGGTCACTGATCGTCGTGCCGCACATGTGCGACATTTGTGTTGATATACATTGATTTTCCCACACTCTTCTAATGGAAATCACGAGTGCGAGTTTTGACCTAGGCACAACGTGCATCAATTACCGCCGGTGATATTTAGATACCTTCCTATCACCAACGAAATTACCTAGTTAAAACATTGTAACGATATTTTGTTCTATTGTTTAACGGTCAGTAACTAAGTACCTTTTTTTTCAGGACGACACCTCCGGGGATTACAGAAGGCTTTTGTTGGCCGTGATAGGGGAACCTATGGAAGCGAAAAATGACAATCAATGATCTCGTAAGAACCATGTTCAGCGGAAGGTTCCTCCAGTTTTAAAGTATCTTCCGTATACACCATGTCTTAGAAATACTTCTTTCTTCTAATAGCACTTGTATTTTACAAAATAAAAAAAAAGAGAATAAATGTAAAATCCAATCCAATAAGTCTACAATATTTATTGTAAAAATATATCTAGGAATCCATAATTAGGTCAAACGTTTACTTCCAAATGTATGCTGGACAGGGATTATGATAATGCTATTTGGACGTTACACAAAAGTATTACCGTTATAGAAAATAGTATATGAATACCGCCCGCAATCGTGCGCGCTGCATTTCAGAAATAACAGGTAGCTCAATATGAACGTTGGTGGCGTAGTTATAGGATAATTTTAAACCATTTATTTTAATAAATAAAAGCCAATTTAAGCACAGGTATAATTTTACATTAAGAAATGTCAGGATAAACTAGCAATTGTGTGTTTGTTGAGACATGTAGATTGGACTCAATATATCTGCGGTACACTGTATGAATCTAGTCTTCAATTCATTGTATTTGATTTACTAAAGTATAGAGTAG